GGGATGAGGGTGACATCCTCCCTTCCTGTACCCTACCCCCTCCCACAGCCACAGAGTCGACGCCAGGAGAGAGGGGGGAGGAAAAGCCGTTGGATGGACAGGAGCACAGGGAGAGGCCGGAGGGGGAAACAGGGGATTTGGGCAAGAGAGGTAATGGGTGGACACACTGGGGCCCCGGGTCCGAGGGAATCGGGAGGTGGAGTCCGGGGGCGCCAATGCCTGGGTCCTGGGGGGTCCTTGCTCCCGGCCAGGCCAGTGCAGGGCATGGGGGTGACCTCTGCCCCGTCTGCCCTAGCAGAAGATACGAGAGGGGAGCGGGAGCTGCGGCCGGGGCCTCCCCGGGACGAGCTGCGGCCCAACGGGCGGCGCGAGGAGAAGGCGGAGAAGCCGCGGTTCATGTTCAATATCGCAGACGGAGGCTTCACAGGTGGGGGGCCCCTCACTGGGATATGCTCGCCCTCCCGGGCCTTCTTGTGGTGTGGTGCCTCGTGCCAAGTCGCGGGCGGGGCGGGGGTCCTCCTTGGCCGCACTCCTAACTCCAGAGCCCTCTTTAATCCCCCCTTTATTCCTGGTCCGAACTTGGGCTTTGTTTGTAACTGCTTTTGCTCCTCACCGCGAACCTACCTTTCTCCCTTCCTTCTAAAGAGCCCTTGGTCCTCTCCCCGCTCTCTGGTCCCTCATCTCTGCCCATCTGTTGAGTTGGCCACGGTTCCCAAACTCCTGATGCCCCATCTCTCTCTTCGGCCCGCTTTTCAGAGCTTCACACGCTGTGGCAGAATGAGGAACGGGCAGCCATTTCCTCGGGGAAACTCAATGAGATCTGGCACCGAAGACATGACTATTGGCTCCTGGCCGGGATTGTCCTGTATCCTTAGATACAAATGCAAGAAAAAAGTGGTTTTCTCAACCTGGAGAGGGGACGAGTCCACACCCAGGGAAGGGGGGGGTCGTACCCCACTCTGGGGAGATGGGGCCAAGAGGAAGTGTGTGTGGATAACGCAGCGCCTCCCCGTTAAATTCCTTGACGGCCCCTCCCTGCGTTGGCAGCCACGGTTACGCACGATGGCAGGACATCCAGAATGACGCTCAGTTTGCCATCATCAACGAGCCGTTTAAAACGGAAGCCAATAAGGGGAACTTTCTGGAGATGAAAAATAAGTTCCTGGCCCGGAGATTCAAGGTGGGGATCCGGGAGAGAAGGGACAGCGTTGAAGAGGGGCTTGGGTCAGGGAGGGGACCAGGTGTGGTCGGAATGTGGCGAAGGCTGACGCCTCGAGGGTGACAGCGGTGCTTGAGGCCAAGGGCGCGGTGCGTCGGGGTCAGTGCCGGGCCCACCCCCGGTGTGGTGTGAGGCTGGGGTGCTCTGGGCGGGCAGGGAGGGCAGTGTGGGTCCCCCCTCCCGGCACCCCCCGTCCGCTGGCCCCGCTGCTGGCAGATGCCCACACTCCCCCTCCGCCCGGGCCCTCAGCTCCTGGAGCAGGCGCTGGTGATCGAGGAGCAGCTTCGGCGGGCGGCCTACCTGAACCTATCGCAGGAGCCGGCGCACCCCGCCATGGCCCTCCACGCCCGCTTCGCCGAGGCCGAGTGCCTGGCCGAGAGCCACCAGCACCTCTCCAAGGAGTCGCTGGCGGGGAACAAGCCGGCCAACGCCGTCCTGCACAAGGGTAAGGGCCGCGGCGGCCCCGCGCGGGGGAGGGCCCACAACGCTGCGTAAGTCTTCACCCCGCACCCCTCAAATCTTCCCACCCCTCTGACCCCTTTACCCTGTGAACCACCCCCCTCTGACCTCTGCCCCACCCCGACCCACCCGCCGGCCCTCGTCTGTGCCTGAGCGCGTTCACACCAGCGCCCAGCAGAGGGCCCTGCCCCCCTTGCCCAGACTCCGTGAGACGTGCCGCGTCCCCTCCGCAGGGCGGAGCTTCTTCGTTGACCCACACGCCTTCCATACTGCTAATAGTGCCCTCTCCGGGGCCGTGGCCTGCGCATAGTCGCCCAGAGTCCTACCCCCCATCCCACCAGTCACGTCCCCACCAGTCACGTCCCCCCCAGCCCGTCTCGCTCGCCCCACCAGGCAGGAACCACCCCCATCCCACCCTGTGACCCTGCCCCCCGAAACTTCCCTGTGACCTCCAGCCCCTTCTCCCAAACCCGCTTCCCCTGATGATGAGACACTCGAACCCAGAACCCTCTAACCATCTAATCCTGTCTGACTAGTGACTGACTCCTGGCCCCTCGGAGGCCTGTTCTAATTCCCTGAGTCTGTGATGCTGACCCTCTGATCTCCAACCCCCTCACATGTGAAAACCTTGACTCCTGAAATCTGTGACAGCACTTACCGCCTCCCACGTCTCCTATTTCCTCCCCACCATCCCCACCCCCAAAACGCCCCCCTTGGAGTATGGGATGTTCTGACAACCCTCCGCCCCATGTCTCCCAATGTCCCCCGCCTCCCGTGTCCTGTCCTCTCCATCTGTCCTCTGCTCCTCTGGTCTCTGACTCTTCTTCTCTCTCCCCCTCCCCGAGTCGCTCTTTCTGTCTCCTTCTGTCATTTTCTTGGTCTCTGGTTCTTTGACAATCTCCATCCTCCTCTCTTCCTATCTCTCCTCCTCTCTCTTTCCTCTCCCTCCCTCTTTTTCTGACTGTGTCTGTCCCTCCGACTCCTCGTTGTTTTCTGGCTCCATCTCTCCCTTTCCCTGTCTTTCTCTTGCCCTTCTTTCTCCGTGGCCCGGGCCCCAGTTCTGAACCAGCTGGAGGAGTTGCTGAGCGACATGAAGGCGGACGTGACCCGCCTGCCGGCCACGCTGTCCCGAATACCCCCCATCGCAGCCCGCCTGCAGATGTCCGAGCGCAGCATCCTCAGCCGGCTGGCCAGCAAGGGCACGGAGCCTCACCCCACACCGGTAACCCTCTTTCCCCCTAACTCCAGTTGTCCCTGCTGGCCCTCCTCCGGCCCCCACACACACGCTTCCGGCAGCTCTAGACGGTGTGGAGAAACGACTTGCTGGGACACACTCCTCACCCTCGAGTCTCCCTGCCTGTATGTGACCCCGTCGGGAGTTCTGGAGCGTGGCCGCCGTTGCCCCTACAGCTGCTCTCTGTCGCGGACTGTGGGGCCGCTCACGGGGGCTCGCTGTCTCTTCCAGGCCTTCCCCCCGGGGCCCTACGCTACGCCTCCGGGGTACGGGGCGGCCTTCAGCGCCGCCCCCGCCGGGGCCCTGGCCGCCGCAGGCGCCAACTACAGCCAGATGCCAGCAGGCTCCTTCGTCACAGGTCAGCCGGTGACGCCCGCCCCTGCTCTTCCCAGCTTCGGCCCTGCCCGGCCCCCCCTTACCAAGGGCGTCAGTGGCTCTGGGGCTAGGTAGCTCGCTCCCCAGCCTCCCCCATCTGGGTTACCTCCGGGAAAGAGAATCGGGAGATCAGAAGGGGGGGTGTGGTGAGAGCCGGCACAGGGCATCTGTCGCGGGCATCGGGGTCTCTTGGGCACAGGGGCTCGCCCCGCTCTGGGAGCTGCCCTGGAAACGGACTAGCAGGGGCAGGAGGTGACCTAGCAGTAGCACGCTCCAGTCAGGAGGCCACGTTTGGGAGCGAAGCCGGGGTTCACTTCCTTGCTCCCTTCCCGAACAGCCACCACCAACGGCCCTCCAGTGCTGGTGAAGAAGGAGAAGGAAATGGTGGGGGCACTGGTGTCAGACGGGCTGGATCGGAAGGAGCCCCGAGCCGGGGAGGTGATCTGCATAGACGACTGACCGGATCGCAGGCCTGTGCGTCACCCAGGCCCCGTGCCCGAGGCCGACCCCCAGCTCAGGCTCTGGGACCTGCTGCCAATCCTCCACCTTCCCCACCCCTCGGGCCGCCTCTGGGCTAGGAGCCACTGCCCCTCTCTGCGACTCCTGTCTCCAGGAAGGGCCCTTTGTCTGTCTCCACTCCCGTGCACCTTTCCCACCGCGCTTTGAAGACCGTGCTGGCGAGGAGAGGTCTGGGTGGGAGGCGGTGAAGCAGGGTCTTCCAAGTATCTTCATCCCCCACCGAACGTGCACAGCTTCCCAAGAAGTGGTTGGGGGGCGGAAAGAGGTGGAGCCTCCCCCGTCTTCACTCCTGCAATACAAGCTCTATCCACAGAAGTGGGGGGATTAGCCTCGCCTGGCCTTTAGGGACTGTGGTGGGGAGAAGGGCTTGCAAGAGAGGAGTGGGACTTCAGAGAGGGAGGAAGGGAAGAGGAGGGGGGGGCTGCATGTTTCCTTCCCCTATCTCTCCCCAAAAGGAGGGTGGAGCAGTTACAAGGGAGGGAGTCAATTGCTGTTCAGCCTCAGAATAAAGGCGCCACTCACTGGCTCAGTTACCTCCTGCGTACCGGCATCTTGTGTTGGGGGGTCTTCTCCTCTGCCTAGGGACCAAGGACCCCCCCCACAAAGAGTGATGGTTGGGCGATACTCCCTCATGCCAAAGAGGAGCTCCCCAATCTGTTCCAGGGACCCGGGTCACCTAGAAAGGGTGGGAGAAAATGCTACAGGCTAGAAGTGGGGGAGCCCCCAGACCCGGGGCTCAGGTTCTTGGGAGTACTTGCCTCCTGAAGGCCTCCCTCCTGAAGGCCTAGATGCGGGCTGAGTTTGAGTGGATCAGGCAGGGGTGTAGTCGGGGGGCTGCCTTGCCTTTGGGACCAGAACAAAATAGTGGAGGGCAGGCTGGGGAGACATGGGCACGTCCTCCTCCCCAGGAAGGGCCGGGGAGAGTGGCAGTTTGCATGGCGAACCCCCCACTTCCTCTTCGCTGCTCCTTCACTTCCTCGCTGCCCCTTTCCCGGGCTCTTCACACCCACTCCTGGGCTGTCCCAACCCCCTCTTCTGTATCAGGTGTATTGGTTGTACATATAAATTATACTTTCCTTTCTGTGTGCTCTGTTATTTTTGAGTGTGGGAGTTCTCTGGTGGGGGGGAGGGCTAAGGAAAGAGAGGGTGTTGCTTCCTGACGTTCCATGTCATCCATCTTTCTCTTTTTTTTAATCTCGTGACTTCCTATTTTTTTTTCTTGGATCATCAACTGAAACTCCCAGGCTCTTTCTCCAGCCCCAACCCCCACGTGAAGAACCCAGTGTAGAGATGGAGGGTGAGCTGCAGAACACCCACACAGTCCTCAGGTTGAGAGCAGAGACCCGGTGGGGCTTACTGGACAGAGGTGAAGCGGGAGGGTGCCTGGCAGGATTCTGACCTGCCTCCCGTTCACCCGTTTTGGATCTTTTCCCCCTTCAAGTGGCCTAGTTCCCCCAAGAGTCAGCAGAGGTCAGTACAGCTCCGCAGGTGCAGTCCTGAGCAGGAAGCGGAGCCCCCCACATTTTTTAAAGTTGGGGTGAGGGGAGTCATGCTTGCTGAAGATTTGAATTGCTCAGTACTTCCTTGACACGCGTTCACTGCCAGAGCCTCTCAGGGGTTGGGACCAGACGCTTTGTCGTTGAGGCGATCGGATCAAAAAAGAAAAGCTAAATCCAACAAACGTTTATTGAGGACACATACACGTTCACCACCGCTGTTCGGCCTGGACATACAACACTCACAAGGCAGTCGCTGTTCTTGCCCCGCTCACACTCACAAGACACATCCTCTCGGAAAACAGGCATTCTGGAACAGCACCTGGTGGGGAGGGGGCTACGCTCAGAGGAACACTGAGAAAGGCCTCCCGCAAGAGGACACATTTAAGCTGAGACAAGCACAGGAAAATGCCAAAATGTGGTTATGAAAACAGGCTTCTATTTCATAAATTCACATTCTTAACTCAGGAAAATGTCACATAATAATTAAACCATGCACACAAAGGTTTCTTCAGCAACAGAATGTCCCTTTACAACTTCCAATAAAATTTATATCCTTTATACCAACTTTTAAATATTCCACCCACGGAAGGTGACATCCTAGCAAGTCTAGCACCTCAGTCAGCGCTGCTTCGAGGTTTACGTGCCTGCAGATCACCTGGGGTTCTTGCTAAAACTCAAGAGAGTCTGAAGTGGGCCCCTGAGGTTGTGTAATCCCAGTGATGCTGCAGCTCCTGCCTACAACCGTATCCTAAGGCGGTCACAGGATTTTAAAACAGAATCCATGCTATACCGTAGGCGATGTCCAATTAGGGGGCACAGTTTAAAACTGTACGATAAGGGGCGCCTGAGTCGGTTAAGCTTCTGACTCTTGGTTTCAGCTCTGGTCACGATGTCGGTCAGGATCATGAGATCGAGCCCCTAGTCAGGCTCCGGGCTCAGCGGAGAGCCTGCCTGAGCTCCTCTTTCTCCCTCTCCTGTCCCTCCCGACCCCTCGAGTGCTCGCTCTTAAAAAAAATAATTATTTTAATTGTATGATATGCATCTTTTCAGTAGTGACAGTGTTCTCCCTGTGATTGTAAAGATGACAAAAAACATCAAACGATTAAAATGTGATGCCTTTACCAAATGGCTTTCCTATCCCTGATGGGCCCTAATTAGGTGGCTCAGAAGAATGCCCTTTGGACCCTGTGATACCTGCCCTCACAGGTTGACGGGAGATTGTGAAATGAAGCGAGGCACAGAGGCATCTCAATAATTTTAGGAACACACTACGGGTCTGGGGAGACAGGCATACCAGCACTGGAAAAAAAGAAAAACACGTTTATTTTTCTCAGCTCTCTAACACGCCGTAGAAGTGACAGTAACATGAGACAAAAACCGGCCTCTTCCCTTCCGCTCTAGCTTTTAAAAAATTTCAAACCACTGACACAGAATCGCTAGAATGGGCCCTATTGTTCCCACTGGCCAGAGCTGCCCTGGACAAAAGCCAAAGTCACAGCTAAGGACACACTCTCTGTCCTTCCCACGGGAATGCGGACCCGCCTCCACCATCCCGGGGCCTCTCCCCCGAGGACGCGAGGCTGGCCCTGTCGGTACACCGGGTGCGGGGGCCATTTGCTAGTGGGGCCCCTCCTGCCCTAGGCTCAACTCCCGCAGCGGCGCCAATCACCGGACGGGCGCGGGGTGGCCTTGGCCTCACCCCCGCACTACAGCGCGCCCCGAGAATGCAGCACCCACCTTCCTTCCGCCGCGGCTTTGGGCTCCGCGGTCACAGCGTGCAGCGGCTCATGTGGGCCAGGTCCTTTATCTCCGGACAGTACAGCACTGGGGGAAACCGGGGGGATCAGTGTCAGCGGGAGGCTGCGGCCGGGCCGGCGACCGCGGGCGCCCCCGCCCCAACCCCGGCCCCCGCAGCCTCCCCGGGACACCCCGATGCGCCCACCCCGCCCCCCGGCCCCCGCAGCCTCCCCGGGACACCCCGGGACGCCCACCCCGCCCCCCGGCCCCCGCAGCCTCCCCGGGACACCCCGGTACGCCCACCCCGCCCCCCGGCCCCCGCAGCCTCCCCGGGACACCCACCCCGCCCCCCGTGGCCCCCCCCCCGCCCCCCCGCAGCCCCCACCCCAACCCCGGCCCCCGCAACCTCCCCGGGACACCCCGGTACGCCCACCCCGCCCCCCGGCCCCCGCAGCCTCCCCGGGACACCCCGGGACACCCACCCCGCCCCCCCGGCGGCCCCACCCCGGCCCCCGGCCCCCGCAGCCTCCCCGGGACGCCCACCCCGCCCCCCGGCGGCTCCACCCCGCCCCCCGGCCCCCGCAGCCTCCCCGGGACGCCCACCCCGCCCCCCGGCCCCCGCAGCCTCCCCGGGACACCCCGGGACACCCACCCCGCCCCCCCGGCGGCCCCACGCCGGCCCCCGGCCCCCGCAGCCTCCCCGGGACGCCCACCCCGCCCCCCGGCGGCTCCACCCCGCCCCCCGGCCCCCGCAGCCTCCCCGGGACGCCCACCCCGCCCCCCGGCCCCCGCAGCCTCCCCGGGACACCCCGGGACACCCACCCCGCCCCCCCGGCGGCCCCACCCCGGCCCCCGGCCCCCGCAGCCTCCCCGGGACGCCCCCCCCGCCCCCCGGCGGCTCCACCTCACCCCCCGGCCCCCGCAGCCTCCCGCCGCGGTCCCGGGCACCCTCCCCTCCCCGCCGCCTCCCCCGGCGGCCCCTTACCGTTGCTAGGCAGCGGCCGCCGCCAGCGCTGCGCGGGCGCCAGCACCCGCTCCCACAGCCGCCGGAGCGCGCGCCAGCCCGCGCTCCCGGGCCCCGCCCCCTCCTCTCGCCCCTCTTCGTCGTCGGCGTCGCCGCCTCCCGGGGCCGCGCCGCCCGCCTCCTCCGGCCTGCGCTCGGCCCGCGCCCTCTCCTCCAGCCGCGCCCACAAGTCGGGGTCCACGGCGACCTCCGGGACCCCGCCGCGCGGGAGCGGCGTGGGCGCGCGGCAGAAGGGGCACGTGAGGACGCGGCGCAGGCGCACCACGCGCGCGGCCGCCCCGCCGCCGTCGCCGCGCGCCGCCAGCTCGCGCAGGCACGCGGTGCAGAGCGTGTGGCCGCAGCGGGCGCGCGCCGTCCCGGGCAGGCGGCGGGGCGCGCGGCCCGCGAGGTCGAAGGGCCGGTAGCAGATGCTGCAGTCCAGCTCGCCCCGCTCCGGCACAGACGGCACCCTCGCCAGGAGCTGCATGGTGCCCGCCGCGGCCTCGCTGGACGCACCGGGCCGGCCCTGCTCGCGGCTGGCTCGGCTCCCGGGGCGGCCGCCGCGGCCTCTGGCCCCTTTTAGTGGCGAGGGCCCGCCCCTCGAGGCGTCACGCCGCCGTCAGGCCGCTCCCCGCCGCGGCACGCGTGGGGGCGGTGGAGGCGCGAAGCCCGGGATGCCGGCGACGGCCGGGCGGGGTGGGCGGCCCCCGGGGCTGCGCGGCCGAGGCCGGTGGGGGGCGCGCCGCCCCTCGCGCCCTCCGCGCCCTCCTCCGGACCCCCAGCTCCGAGCCGGCGCATCCTGGAGTCTGTGTGCAGAGCTCCAGGCCCGTGCAGCGCCCCGGCCCTCGGCCGCCCGCTGACCCGGACTCCGCAGCCCGCCGGGCGGTTGGGTTAATTGTGCACTCTCCGTTCACAGCCCCCACCCAGGCCGCCTGAGCCGCTGGCACTGCCCGTTCTGCCCACCCTTTAGTGGCCTCCCGGACATTGGCACGGATGCAGCCTTTAACTCGCATGACTATACACCCCCTCCCTGGGCTCTGGGGAGGCCAGCTTCCCAAACTCATTCTCAAACTGCTCACCTCTCCGCTGACATCTCAGCCTCCGGCGGCAGCTAGATGCCAGGACCCTGGATGGCCCTCCTCCCAGGAATGCTGGGAATCCTTTTCTTCCGGAGTAGCCAGGCCTGGACACCCGCACGCCATACAGATCATGCCCAGCTTGAGCTCTGACTCAGGGGTCTGACTTGCCCCACAGGTATACAGGATATAACGCAGAGCCCGCATTCCCTCGTGGTACCACACCCACCTCCAGCTGCCTCCTCACCCTCCTGCCCCGCACCTGTAGCCCAGGTTCCGCTGTGGAAGGTAATAGTGCAGACTCGACGGCCACATCCTAGGCTCCAGCACTCAGGAGTTGTGACACCCCGAGCAAGTGACCTAACTTCTCTGGGCTGGCTGGTTTCCTCATTTATACAATGTGGGTAATATAGTGTTGAATGAGCTTATAGATGCAAGGTGTTTAGAATAGGGCCTGGCCCACAGAAAACAGGACGTCTTAGCTCCTTTTATCCTGTGCCCCCCCAGCCTGTGTTGTGTTGACTTCTCAAAACCCAACATTTGCAACACCCGTCTCTTTTGGTCAATACAAGCTGGGCTTCTCTGCTCACATGGCGTTCGCTGGCTTTAACAGGCGATGTAGAGCTGGTTTTGTTTTTTAACTAGATTGCTACAACCCTAAAAGATAATCTTTCGTGAGGAGGTATACCATTATTTGAAAAGAGATAGTTCAGAACTTCTGAGTTGTTGTCTTCACGGTCCTGTGGGGGAAGCTATCCACTTACACCAATGATGCTGTCATAATTCAAAGCTTTTTGGCAACTTCTCTTTGGAATGTTGTTCTGAGGTCTCCTCACATCTTCTTTTATTTACTTATTTTAAGATTATTTATTTATTTATTTATTTGAGAGAGAGAGAATGAGCAGGGGGAGGGGCAGAGGGAGAGGGAGAAGCAGACTCCCCACTGCGCAGGAAGCTTTACTCAGGGTTCAATCCCACGACCCTGAGACCCTGAGACACTGAGACCATGAGACCATGACCCGAGCCGAAGGCAGACGCTTAACCGACGGAGCCACCCAGGCACCCTATCCTCACATCTTTTAATATGTTTGGTTGATGATTACATCTTAAACTTTTAGGGTAGATGTGATTATATAAATGCTTCCAAAGTGTTTGACAGCCAAAGCCTCTCTGAGCTCCAGACCTTCCTTTGTCTTCAGGAACCCAAAATGATGATCTCCCTTGTCCCAAGTTGGCACCTCCTCCAGCATTTCTCACCCCTTTCTTTCTTTTTTTTTTTTTAAGATTTTATTTATTTATTTGACAGAGAGAGACACAGCGAGAGGGGGAACACAAGCAGGGGGAGTGGGAGAGGGAGAAGCAGGCTCCCCGCTGAGCAGGGAGCCCAATGCGGGGCTCGATCCCAGGACCCTGGGACCATGACCTGAGCTGAAGGCAGATGCTTAAGGACTGAGCCACCCAGGCGCCCCTCTGATAAATAAAATCTTAACAACTGAGCCACCCAGGCGCCCCTCCCACCTCTTTCTTTACCCAGCTCCAGAAACAAAGCAGTCATCCATGACCCCTCTTCCCCCGCCACTGTCACCTTCCTTTACCAACTTCTCAGCAAGCCCTGTTCATTTTGCCTCCTAAATGTCTCCCTGATCCACCTACTTTTCTCCGCCTTCAGTACACCACCCCAGTCCAGGCTGCCACCATCTCTTGCTTAGACCCTGGTAGGAGCCTCTTCACCAGATCACCAGTGATCTTTCCAGATCTCAAGCCCAACCAGGTCCTACCACAACCATTTCCATTCCTGTTTAAAATCTTTTGGGCGCCTGGGTGGCTCAGTTGGTTAAGCGACTGCCTTCGGCTCAGGTCATGATCCTGGAGTCCCGGGATCGAGTCCCGCGTCAGGCTCCCTGCTCGGCGGGGAGTCTGCTTCTCCCTCTCCCGCTCCTCCCTCTTGTGCTCTCTCTCTCAAATAAATAAATAAAATCTTAAAAAAAAAAAACCTCCTTATAAAAAAAAAATCTTTTAATGTGAGGGGCACCTGGGTGGCTCAGTCGTTGGGCATCTGCCTTCAGCTCAGGTCATGGTCCCAGGGTCCTGGGATCGAGCCCCGCATCAGGTTCCCTGCTCAGCAGGAAGCCTGCTTCTCCCTCTCCCACTCCCCCTGCTTGTGTTCCCTCTCTCGCTGTGTATCTCTCTGTCAAATAAATAAATAAAATCTTAAAAATAAAATAAAGTCTTTTAATGTGGTGATAGTTTAGTAGCCCCAAATTCCTATGCCAAAGGACTTTGCTGCTTCTCCCATCAAAAATTGGGGTCTGTTTCCCTATTCCTGGAATCTGGGCTCACCTTGTGACTTCCTGTGACTAATAGAAAGTGGCAGAAGTGACGTTGTGTGAGTTCTGGGGCATGGTCTGTCAGAGGCCTTGCAGCTTCTGCCTTCATCCCTTGGGATCCTGCCCTGAGTCTATTATGTAAGGGAATTTACCAGCAGATGAGGCTACATGGAGAACGGAGGAGTCCCAGCCAATGGCCAAATGTAGCAGTGAGACCACTGATGCTCCCGCTCAGCTGACCTTCCCGCTCAATCCAGCCACACGTGTGAGCCCAGGTGAAAAGAGCAGGGGAACCAGCCAAACCACAGAATAATGGGGGTAAAAATAAAATTTTAAAAAGTTGTCTCGAGCCACTAAATTGGGGGGGGGGGATGTATGTATCACTGAACAACAGATATGGACGGTTTCCTATTGCCCTTAGGATAAAGATAATATTCCAAAGTGCCCGATAAGGTCTTGTATGTTCTGAACTCATGTCTCCCATTCTGCTTCCATGCTCTCTTTGGACCCTCTAGCTTTGGAGAACTTTGGTTTGCGTGTTCCCTTCTGCACGCTTCCCCTAGCCCTCTTGCTTTCACCTTATTAACACCTGCTGATCCTTCACCGCTGAGTGCAGCCTCACCTTTCAGATACCACTGTAGACTTGGTAGCAACCCGTCCTTGTCTCTGGACTTTGGACACCTGCAATTTATGTTTGTTTGCTGGTTATTTGTTTGTCTTTCTCATCTGGAAACTCCACAGAGGTTGTTCTGAGTCTGGTTTTGTTCACAACTGTATCCCCGTACCATAGTGGGACTCGATAAATAAATACTTGTTAAGTTAATGAATGAGGTGGGTGATAAATACAGTAAATGAGGTGTGGCAATGAAGGAAGGTTTCTTACGAGGGCTTTACAAACAGCCTCAGAAGATAATTCCTAAGAGGACTTTTTTTTTTTTAATGTTTTGAGCAAGGGGGGAGACATTTCTATTAAAATAAAGGAGTCCTCCAAAGTAACCATTTAAAGAGAATACTATTTTGAATTTATGAAGTCTTGTATGTTTGTTACAGAATAACTAACCATAGTTTAGTCATATATTTTACCTCCTTGTTTCCTCCACAGTCTTGCAAAACGAGTGGGAGATGTTAGGAGTGGATGTAACTATTCATTAGTTGATCCGGTTGGTTGCTAGCCAGCTGCTGACTTTTCTCTTTTTGGAAATTGGTTTTAGGCTGCTCTCTCAGCTTCAGGATCGAGGAAGGGTGAGGAGATGGGGAGGTTGTATTTTAAGGAAGGCAGAGTTCATCCTCCCTTGTCTTATGATCTTTAAAGGTTGTAGCTTTCCACCCACTTTGTGTCCCAGGGAAATCAGAGTCCTTTGGGGAAGATTAGGGATCATATCCGACATAATCACATTTGAGTCTGCTTTTCTGCTTCCATTTTTCCTTAATGATAACTCCTTTCCCTCCCCCCAACCCCCGCATCATCTCCACCATAGGCCAGTTTTCATCTTACCTCTCCTTCCCCAAATCCCAACGCCTCAACCTCGCATCAGCCCCTCCCACTCGGCCACAACAAAACCACCGAGAGAGTGCTTTGGTCTACGTGTGGGTATCAGGAAAAGGGAAATGAGAAGTAAAGGAACAAGAAGTGTGGCTAATGTAACTTGAAGCAAAACAAAGGCAAGAGTGTCAGAGGGAGGAATAACAAAATCATGAAGCCAGATCTCTGGGCTCTGAGGGGTGCGGTGACGGAAGGAAGGAAGAAAACCGGGGACTGGGGTATCCGGGGACCTGGGTCCTCAGTGAGGGCGGTGACTGGCAGTGACTAGCAGCACGATGCCTTGGTCAGTGGAGAGAAAGCTAGCACTGGAGCTTTCTAATGGCAGGGAGCTAGACCCAGGGCCAGGTATCTGAGACTGAGCTCCTACCCTCCCAACCCCTGCAATTTCAGACACCGGGAGTGAGGATCAAGCTGAGATTTTATTTACAGTTCCCTGGGAGACGTCTTACAGAAGAGGGGCCGGCATTATTGCTTTAAGATTATTGCCAGGAGGAAGACTGCAGCCCTCCACTGCTAGGTCGGAGATCCTGCTCCAGGCTCAAAAGTCTATCCCCAGACATTTTCAGTCCAGCCCCAGGTCTCCACCGTGGCCTAAAGGCTGTCACCGTGTCCTGCAAAGCACAGCCCAGTTTTCCCCAAGGCCGCCCCAACCGCTTTGCCAGCATACTTCCCTTTACCCGCGTCAGTGCTGTGTCACTGCGTTCTCCGCGCCCCCCCACCCCCTTCCTTGCAAGGACAAAGTATTGACACTTTTTTATTTAAGCGCCCCTCCACCTTCTGCTGGGAGGCAGGGTCCTCCAAGGCTACCATTTACTTCCTGCCAGGACCAGCCTGGCTTCCTTTGTACCGAATAAAAGCCCCGGTGCCTTTGTCCCAGATGACGTCACTACTCCCTTCTTATTAGGTTATGACCCCTTGATGACATCTCAAGGGCCACTTTTGAGGTAACGTGCATGCTTCCTGTATCTGCCCTGGTTTTTTGCTTTCCTCTGGGCCTCGGCGATTAGGGGAAGAGAGACCAAGGGGCAGAGAGGGGCCGGCCCGGTGGCTCATGCCCGGGATTAGCACGAAGGCCCGGGGGAGCGCACGGAGGGGGGCGGCGCACTACTTTCCCTCTCGAGCCCCACTGCGGGAGGATACATGGCTTTGTTCATGCGCGTCGCTACTCGAAGCCGGGACTCGTTAGTGGGCGGGGCCTCGCCGGCTGCGGCCGCGGCGGGGAGGGATCCGGGGCGGGAGGGAGGCGGGGGCGGCCGGCCGGGTGTGGGTCCCTGCGCCCCCGACGGACTATTTCTTGGAAGGCGGCTTGTTCCCCAAAAGCCCGTCTATCTCCATCACCGTCTGCGGCGTCAGCTGGCTCAGCACCTGGCGGGCAAGGCGGTGGTGGAGGGGACAGTACGCGCTGGCTCACCCGAGAAGGGCATGGGGTTCGGGGGCCAGGGAGGGGAGCAGCGCAGCGGGGCCAGGTGGCGGGAAAAGAGCCTCCCCTTGTCGCCCCGGGACCTCTCCTCTGCGGAGTGAGGGGACTCCGTAGTGGCTGACCTCCCAAGCCCATTCCGGGTGGGACAACCGGGGAAGGGCGCAGAGATGGGCTCTGCCGCTGAGTCCCCAGCTCACCTGCAGGGCTCCCAGGTGTTCCAGCAGCTGCGCTGCACTCGACACCCCCAGCAAGACCGAGCTGACACCCTCGCTGCGGAGACACCACGCTGGGGCCAGAGGAGAGAAGAAAGAGAACTGAGGGGAACACCCACAGTTCAGCGCCCACACTTGAGGAGTGTCTCTGAGGAAGAGGGTCCTCCCTAGGGACAAACCAGTCTTGGGTTTGGGGGTGTCTGGGCAGGAGGGGAGGGCCCCCCGCGGGGTCCAGGGCTGGCGGTGGCTCACCAATAGCAAGCTGCGCCACAGTGCAGCCCAGCTGGTGAGCCATGGGAAGAAGGTCCATGACTTTGGCTTGTGGCTGCTTCCTGCCAGCCTCACTCTGCACTTTGTCCTTGAGCCACTGGTAGCCCTGGAGGCCAAGGTGAATCAGCACCGCCCGGATCTGCCCAGAAGGCCCAGTGCTGCCATCCTGAGCCCCCAGATCTCACCTTGATGGTGGCCCTGCAGGTATCTGGGACTCGCCCATCATACTTGCTAGTGATGAGGCCACAGGCCAGAGGGGACCAGGTGACTGAGCCAACACCTGAGGGCAAGAGGATTGGATGTGGGGATAGGAATCTAGGTGACGGATTGGCCAAGGGAAAGGTAGGGATGGGGGCTGCGAACCAATCTTGTGGTAGAGCTCTGGCAGCTGCATCTCCCCCTTCTCTCTCTGAAACAGATGGTGCTCGGCTTGCTCACACACTGGAGGAATCAGATTGAACTGTCTGGCCATGGAGTAGGCCTCCTGGGTGGGGCGGGGAAGAGACGGGGGGCGGGGGGGTCAGAGCACTCTTCCCACTTTCTTCCACTCTCCCTCCTCCAGTAGAGTGGGTTTTGGGGTGGCCATGTGAAAAGGGGGGACCGGTCGTGGGATAGCGGGAGGAAGGGGGGTGGCACACTCACCATGATTTCTGCAGCTCCCCACCGGGATGTCCCCCAGTAGAGGGCCAGGCCCTGGTTAATGACATAGGTCATAGCTCGCACAATCTCTAGGCACACGGGAGAGAGAGAGAACCTCCCTGTCAGACCCCGGACATCCAGGGCTCCAGATCTGTGGATCTCGGCCTGCCCCACCAAGAACCCCGGGCATCTCTGTGTAATCAGAGAGATTGGTATCTGCCCTTCACCTCCCTCCCTGTCCAAGACCTGGGATCTGAGCCTCCACTGTGGAGGTTGGGAGGCCTCGCGAGCAGGGGCCGGCTTCCTGCTGAGAGTTTGAGGATTTGCCATTTTGAAGGATGGCCGGGGTGGGGTGCTGCTTTTACCCTCCATGGGACTATTGGGGTCTGAGCGATTGGCGAAGACGATGTCCACGTATCCCAACTGGAGGCGCTCCAGGGATCCTTGCAAGCCTGGGGGACGGGTGGGGGGAGGAAGGTAAGTACTTCAGCTTCCCTTTGCTCGGGATTCAGACATTACCCCCTTGCCATGGCCGCCGAACTCCCGGCTCCCCTATGCAGAGCCTCCAACTCAAAGGTTCAGAGGACGTTCCCAACTCTTCTGGCTTCTGTACCCAGCCGCTGTTCCCAGTCCCTCTCACCCTCGATGATGTGTTTGCGGCTCAAGCCTCGCTCGGTTTCTGCCCTGCAGGAAAAGGGAAGTCAAAGATGAGGTGTGACAAAGACAGGGGAACAGGACTGGCCTGGCGCCAAGAGGTACTGGGATAGCACGGGTCCTCAGGGGCAGGCTGCAGACCTGGGGTGGCAGCCATACCCACACCTCTCCCATGCACCTTCACACATTCTCTGTAGCTCTCCCCAAATAGAGTGTGGCAGCCACTTACTGTCCTCCCCAAAAAATCTTGGTGGTGATGACATAGCTTGATCTCCTGGAAAAAGAGAAAAAGAGAAGCAAGAAAAGGGATTTGGGATGACCATTTCCCCAGCAACCCCTCCAAACACAGTCTCACCTCCATCCTTTGCTCTTGAGTATGTTGCCTAGGGTTCTTTCAGCCCTGGAAGAAAGACGATGTCCGAAATACTGACCCTTCCAAGGTGGATCAGTTCCTTCCCCTCCTCCCCACCTTTCCCTTCAACCCATTTCCTCTCTAGTAAAGCAGACCACAGACCAGGAGCCCATTAGGCTGTCAGCCTCATCCTGGACAAAATCAAGAAAGGCTCCCAGAACTTGGGGTGTGATCATACACTTTTCATTCATCGGGCAAATATCAATTGTACATCAACTACGTACCAAGCTTTGTTCAGGGTGTCGAAGGGATAGAATATGAGGGGACAGGGACAGACTAGTGAAGTGGGGAGGACACCCGTTGTCTGCTCTGGTTCCAACCATCTGCATAGCCCTCCCCCTTCTTTGAGTCTCTGCAAAATCCCACCCATCTTCCAAAGCTTAGCTTGGATTCTGCTTCATTTTATTGAAAATGTTCTCTGATTGCCACAGTCTGTGCTCAGCCCTTCTCGTCACCTTCCATAACTCCCGCTGGCTCAATTCTTTGGCACTTAATGACGCGCTAACCTGTGACAGGTCTTAAGTTGTTACGGCGGATGGTTACCAAAGTTTCCCTGTTACTTTTCATATCTCCCTGTGTTTTCGGTTTAACCACTTTGACCGTGAGCTTTGGGAGGGCGTGTTTTCATCCCATGAGCAGCGCCTGCTCTGGGCTAGGCTCTGTGTAGGTACTTAGGTGACATGGACAAGTTCCGTGGAAGGAGGAGCAGCAAACATGGCTACGTAAACCGGTAATTGACAGATGGTGGGTTGGAGGGCAGTACAAAGTGCTTTGGGAGCTGAGGTGGGTGATGACCAACTTGGGGAGCTGGGCAAAGGCTTCTTGGAGGAGCTGACATTGGGCCAAGTCTTTTTTTTTTTTTTAAGATTTTATTTATTTATTTGACAGAGAGAGAGATAGCGAGAGCAGGAACACAAGCAGGGGGAGTAGGAGAGGGAGAAGCAGGCTTCCTGCCGAGCAGGGAGCCCGATGTGGGACTCGATCCCAGGACCCTGGGATCATGACCTGAGCCGAAGGCAGACGCTTAACAACTGAGCCACCCAGGCGCCCTGGGCCAAGTCTTGAAGATGAGCAGGAGAGTTTGCCAGATGGGACAAGAGGTGGGGGAAGGTCATCCTAGGTTTTGGCTAGGTTTGGGAGGACCCAACGTGAAGCCATGGGTATGCGATCTGTGAAAATTCAGCCTTGTAATCCCCACATTGTGACACATAACTGATGCCCAGGATAGATTTGTTGGCTTTATTTTATTCGGACTGCCTAGAATGCCCTTTGGGCTCTACACTGAAGAAGGACTGATGTTGGGACTACAATTCCCATAGTGCGTCGGGGGCCCATTGGCTGAAAGGTTGGAACTTAGCGTTCACAGAGTTCCCAGGGTTCTCTAGAGGGAAAATAAGAAGCCCTGATGTTCTCTTAGCCTTCCAGATGTAACTTGGCTCTTTCACCCCAGTCCTTACTTCCCCGCTGCGTAGACTTCAGCCGTGTCAAATAGGTTTACACCGTGCTCATAGGCCACTGTCAGCACGTCCTCTGCTGTCTAGAGAGGTGACAGAGATGAAGATCAAGCACTGGCCCCCAGCGACCTCCCTCTGCACTGCAGCCCCACTTGCACCTTGGCCCCGGCCCCACCCTCCAGCCTCAGGCCTGCCATTCCCCGTGCTTGTTGTCCAAACCCCTCTCCGAGTCCACTCCCCTCTTCTCTGGTTCCCTCACACCCCCTCACCCTGCTTCCAGGGCCCATCATTTATACCTTGTCCGAGATTTGAGAACCAAACGTGACCCAGGTGCCTGCGAGAGAGATGCCAGGCATGTGACCACCGTGGGGGGGGGGGGCAAGCCACAAATGCCCCCTCCCTTAAGTCCTCTGCTTTCTAACTCACCTAGGCCAAGACAGGAGACCCGAAGACCAGACTTTCCTAGGTTCCTGCAGGATACAGAAGCAGCAGGAAAGGGTGGAGCGTCCATTAAGGACAGAGATTATCAGCCCCCAGCTCCTCTCCTTCCAGAATCAGAAGCCCTCGGGTAGCTCAGTCCAAAGGAACTAGACCCAGTGGGCCTACTGAGTTGGGCAGTACTATGCCCTAAGCCTAGGCGACTCTGGAGACAACATCCAGGGCCTCTGTGGCTGCCTGGTTTGTGTTTCTCCTGGTGGGGTCTCATCTGTGTTTGAGTCATCTCTGGGATGTGTGGAGTTTGGGGTCTGGAGGAATGTGACAGGCCGATGGTGATGAGTTTGTGGAAACAGACCCGCAGATAAAGAATGCTATACTGAAGGGCAGACACCGCGGTGGGAGTGGGTAAACCAAGTCAGGTTTAGGCACTCAGGCAGGCAGGGGTCCTTGGACAGGGGAGGCAGATGGGCCCTCAAAACGCAGGTAGGACACCTGAGTGGGGAGTATGACAGGAAAGGCCAGTTCTCCCTCTTTCTCTGTAGGCTCCCTCCACTCCTGTGGGCTTGTGGAGTCTGTCTCTGACCCAGAGAGCCCCCTCCTCCCAAGGTCTCCTCACCCAGGTAGTTGGCTCAACTTCTCAGTCAGAGCCAGCACATGGAGGAGATCAAATTTCTCAAGTGACAAGAGTCAGGTCCGATCAGTACCCTCTGCTCACTCCCAAGTAGGAGCCCCTCCCTCCTTCTCTTATGCAAGTTCTGAGAGCCCAGCAGTTGTCTGAGAAAGTCGGTTACAATTCAGTCTACTTTCTCCACCAGGCCCCTGTCTGTCCCTCAGCATGGGTTTGAGATATGTGGTCCATGCTTCCAAGAGCCCCACTCGCCTCCCCACCAAGAAAGGTTGCAGGAGACCCGGCCCTTGGGGCAGGTGAGGGCAGTATCTGGGTCAGGCATCCTGAGCTGGCCAGAGTGAGAAGCCGTTTCCTTCCCACCTGCACCCCCCCTTCCCAGGACACCGACCCAAGGACACTCCATCCCAGAGGGGGCCCAGCCTGGAGATCCGTGCATCCCTGGCCCTCCTGGGGATAAGGAGGGAAGCTCAGGAGCACCACCTGGCTCTGACAGGACCGGTCAACCTTGGCGAAGTTGATTTTCTCCTAGTCAGGGGTATGGACGGAGACAAAGAGCGGAACCAAGTAAGGGAGTATCCCGGTGATGGAAAGAAGAGATGGGATGAGCTAGAACCTTCTTAGCGAAGATTGAGGGGGTCCTGGCGGCATCCCAGGAAGCCTCAGGGGTCAGGAAAGGGGAGCAGATGGGGTGGGCTGCCTGGCCACCCCCATACCTGTATTTCATGCCAGTGCGTCTGCCGGTGCTCTCTCGGAGGGCCCCAGCGGGCGCTGGGGGTCGGGGGACCAGTGCGGCCCGGGCCTTGGGGCCCGACCCTCCTCCCCCCGGAGGATTCCCATGCCCCCCGCCGACCGGCCCGCCATTACCGCCCCCGGGGCCCGGCCGGGGTCCGCACAGACGGTCCTCACTGCTCCGGCTGCGAAGGTTCTGCTCGGTACACGCGATAGACACCTGCATGCCAACTGGCCAGGGCGGGGAGGGGGCTTCGAGGGGGCGGGAGGAGTTGGGAACAGGGAAGCCCCGGCGCGGACCGCGGGGGGGTGCAGTGGCGCGAGCCCTGGGAGAGCGAGAATGCTGAGCAGGCTGCGGCGGAAGCCGCCAGGCAGGATCGGGCCCGCGGGGACCGGCTCCTGGAGGTCGCGGGGTTTGCGGCGGGAGGGGAGAAGCGCGGCGGGCGGCACGAGTGCAGAGATTCGGATACGGGGTCCCTGGCGCGGGGAGGAGGAGGGAGAAATGGGTGAGGGCAAAGGTCGAGGGCGGTCCTCGGAGGATAGGGACCTAGGGACCAGGGCTGGTGGTGGAAGAGAAATGCCACCTCAGCCCAAACCGCAGCGGGACCGCTAGGCTCCCAGCAGCGTCGGCAGCGGGCCCAGATCATCAACATGCAGGCACCGCCCGCCTCCCAGCCAAACACGCCGCTCATCTGCATAAGCCCCGCCTCCGAAGGCTCCGCAGCTTGAATATTGTGTGTTTGGAGAAGCCGGGAGGGCAGAACCTGGGAGGGTGATTATCATACCCCCTGGGACCCGCAGCAGGTCGGCCTTCCTCCAGTAACGTGGTTTTCAATGGGGGGATTATTTTGTCCCCTAGGAGGTCATGTGGCAAGGTCTGGCGACATTTTTGACTGTCACGACTGGGATTGGGGATGCAGATGGTCTATCAGCAGCTCGTGAGTGGCGGCCAGGACAAAACGCTGGACAGCTCCCCCGGCCCCCAAAATGTCAATGCAGACGGTCCCTAGTTATGGTTTGACTTACAATTTTTTAAATCTTTTTGATGGTGCAAAAGCGATAGACATTCAGTAGAAACCGTACTTTGAATTTTGTCCTGGGCTAGCAATATACTGTATGATACCTCCTGATGCTGGGCAGTGGCAGGGAGTCTCAGCCCCCAGTAAGCCCCTGGATCCCGAGTGTAAACTACCAATACACTTACGACCATACTGGTTTTTTTTTTTTTTTTTTTTTTTTACTCTCAGTATTCAATAAATCACATGACATATTCAACACTTCATTATAAAATAGGCTTCGTGTTAGATGATTTTGCCCAACCGTGGACGAATGTAGTATTCTGAGCACATTTGAGGTAGGCTAGGCTAAGCTATAATGGTTGGTAGATCAGGTGAATTAAATGCATTTTCGACTTATATTTTCAACTGACGATGGGTTTATCTGGACCCAACCCCATTGTGAGTGGAGTAAGATCTGTCATTGTTGAGAAGCCCATGGACAAAGCCTCTTTACAGGCTCACGGGATGTGGCCACCCTGGTTCATGCCTTCGTGAGTGGGGCAGGACCCGGACGGACCACCCAAACTGACAAACTAACACGGTTAGGCTGCAGAGGGTGACAAAAAGTTTATTCTGTACTTTTGCAGCATCAGGTAGGGGATAAAACTGGCGATGGCCTGGTCTGGAGGTGTAGGGATTCCTGGAGGCTTCCTTCCTCGGACGGGGAGGGCACCAGGGTGGGCTTTAGGCTGTTGCCCTGGGAGGGCTGCTGGGGAACAGGAGGGGGTAGAGGGGCATGCAGTGGGGGCCTTCATATGAAACAGGTTAGGAAGGGCCCCAGGCAGACAGGGAGTCTCCTGAGGGGTGAGGTAGGGTGCTTCCTTCAGCCAGCCCGGGCAGAGAAGAAAGGCAGAGAGCGGATGTAGGAGTCCAGCCGGGAGCGGAAGAGCTCACTTTGCACAGTTTGGCCCAGTGGGCACAAGGGATTCTTCACCACCAGCTCCACATACAGCTACAGAGGGGAAGGGTGTTAGAGCCAGGCTTTGGACACTTCTTGTTTTCAACCCCAAACCTAGTGTGACCTCAGGGGTGTGCGAATGCACAAGGATCAAGGGCTGGGAGGCAAGCCTCCCTGAGGAGAAAGTGGTGGTGTTTCAGAACCTAAAGAGTCCTGAGAAAACTCTTGACTTAACAGAGCTATGGTACAGTAGGATTAGGGCAGGGAAGCTCAAGGTGTCTTGAGGCTCTAAGTGACCATGGCTGTGGAGGAGCTTTTGGGGAGGGAAGGGTCCCAGCAGCTGGCACTGACCGCACTGTAGATATGATGCAGCACATCTCGGATGGGTCCGACGCCCAAGTCAGTATTCATGACAACCTTGATCCCAGTGGGCGTCTCGTAGTAATGGAGTTTGTAACGGCTAGTTTGGAAGGCCAGGAAGCCATCCTTCCTGCAGAGATGAGGACATTAAGGAACGGGAGCATAATCTCTTCCACAGAGATACTTCCGATCCTGTCTAGGTCGACTCCCTAAACATCGTTCACAGGAGCCTGATTTAGTAAGACACCTCCCACCTCCACTCCTCAATTTAGCCCCCGCACCCAACCTCTCTACCTTCAGATCTTCCCCTTCGCCGCTCAGGCCAGCCCCAGCACTCTCGCTCCAGACTCAGCCTCTCTCTGTCTGTCTCCTAACCCCTCCCTTGGGGGCCAATGTCTCTTCCACTCCACAAAGTCTCCCCCGCCCCCCAAATTCCCAAGGCTAGCCCTCCTTCCCTCGGCATCCCTCCTGACTCAGCGTACATGTCTAGCGGGGACATCTTGCTGACAAAGGAGCGGATAGAGAAGAGCATCCCGTACATCAGCTTGTACTCCTGGAGGGAGAGGGACAGAGTTAGCTCTTGGTTGTTGAAGGAGACGGGATAGGGGTGGGAACCAGACGGGGTTTGGATAGGAAGGGCTGGGCTGGGACCATGTGCGTTTGAGATGCGAGGTCACCCGGACTGCGCGGGGCCCTCTCGTCACCTCTTCTTTGGGGATCCCCGCTTGCTTCTTGCGGTGCCACTCGCTGTAATGAAGGCACACTCCATTCCGGTCAAACAGGTACAGGTTGTGAACAGTCATCTGCAGGGCAGAGAGCGTTGAGCCTCGCTCCGAGACCGCCCACGCTCCGGGGGCTCCAGTTCCGGGCCCCTGGCTCCCCCGACCCGGCAGCAACCCCTCCCCCGGACTCACCGGAACTGCTCCTGGTGCTCGTCACCAGATACTTCCGGTTTCCTCGGAGCCCCGCCCCACCGGCTCCTCAAACTGCCGTGGTGGGACAATAACTCCGCCCCATGCCTCCCTCAGCCAATCCGTGCCGCCGGCGCCGCGCACGCGCGTCTTGGGCTCCCGGGCTCCAGAAGCTGTCTGGGCGCCTGCGAGGGAGAGCGCGGGGCTGGTGACGTCATCTGGGCGAGCGAGGCGGGGCTGCGGACGGTGGGCGGGAGGCTGCCAACGGTTTTGAGTGTAGGGAAGGGGCGAGGGTGGGTGTGCAGGGCTCCTTGGCCTCCCGGACCGGGGCTCAGGGGCGGGGGACAATCCCTGGCCCGCACCTTGGCAAACTGAGCGGGGCTGAGGTCTGGCGGTGTGGCGAGGAGTTGCCAGGGGTGGTCCGGGTAGAGGATCTCAGGCTAGGCTGGAGGGCGGCGGACTTTGAGGGGGTGGCCCAGGGTTCACAGAGTTTCTCTTGGGATAGCACGGAGGGGGGGGGGGGGTTCTAGAAGAGCCTTGCTATGGCTTTCTTGCCAGGAGCGGTCGGAGGGGATATACAGGAGGGTTGACGGTGGGTGGAACAGGTGCATGGCGACGGGCGTGAGGAGGTGGGGAACGTGAGGGTCCTGCCTCTCTGAGACCCCGGCCAGGTGAGGGCCAAATAAGACTGCTGGAGGGAAAGCAGGCCGCTGTTGGATTGGGTCCATTTCAGTTTGCAGGTTCTGGGTGTGAGAATTTAAAAGCCTGTGCCATAAGTCGGTCTTCAGCACTCCAGGGGAATTGCAGTGGGGCTGTCTCCCCTCGGTCTTCTGTCCCCACCCCCTCCTTGCTGCACCCTCCTTTTCCACTGGTCCCAGGCGCGGTGGAAGGAAATGCTTTTGCTCTCTCCCATGGCCTCTGGAACTGCTGGAAACCTTTCCTCTAACCAGAAAGCCTCCCTGCCGTCCCTCAACAAGGATCCTTGGCTTGGAGTCTTCCTCCTTTCTCCCAAATCTTCTTTCTCGGTGCACTTCCCCCCCTGGAGTCTCCTAAAGCAGGACCAGGAGTTCCCACTTCTGCTGTCTGCAGTTGTCTGGTGCTTGTACTCATGGCAACATCAGCTACCAGCCCCGTTTCACCTCTCCGGGCTGAGGATCTCCTGAGTGATTCATCAGAAGCCCCTGGGCTGAACCAAGTATCCTCTGAGGTGACCTCCCAGCTCTATGCTTCTTTGCACCTCAGTCGTCAGGCGGAGGCCACCGCCCGAGCCCAGCTGTATCTCCCCACCACCTCCCCACCTCCCCATGAGATGTTAGATGGCTTGGCCCAAGAGCTGAGTCACAGCTTGTCGGTTGGCTTGGAGAACAACCTGAAGAAAAAGGTGAGAGAGGTGTGTCTTGGGTACCTCTAGGGTCTTGGAATGGGTGGTCGTAAAAAAAAAAAAAAAAAAAAGATTGCTTTGCTGAGATTTGAACTCCTGTTGTTGGATTGAACTCCTATTTTGAAGATACCTGCACCAAGGGACAGGTTGCTGTGCTTTGACTGGGACTTGGGCACTAAGCGAGGATAAGGTTTCTTCAGTTCAAGAGAGAACTAGGCACTTAAGGATAGCAAAATTTGCTAAGCTCCTTCTAGCTCAAAGCTAGTTTGATTGTGTGGTTTACAGTTTGGCATGTCAGTCATTCAAACGCGGTCTAATCGATTACACATGTCACAGAGAGGTTGGTTATTAGTGTTGCAGACTGGTTAGGTCTTCCAGAGTTTGAAAAACTGATAGCCACGGACTCCACAGTCTTTAGATGAGGTATTTCCTCTCTAGTTGGCAAGGATCCTCACCAGGCTTGTCTTAATGTGCCCAATTAATTTATTTACACTATGTGCCTGCCTTCTGTAGACATTTGAGTGTCAACCCTTATTGGGTCAGTTCCGGTTTTCTTGGCTGTCCCAGGTGCTGGAGTAATTCTTGGATTTTAGGGACTACCAGATGCCACGTACCCTGGCAGCGTGTAGAACATAAGATCATTCAGGTTGCATCTGCTTTCCATGCTGCTTTTTTCTAGGATGGCTCCAGGCATATTTTTGAGATGGAAAGTGTTCGGGGTCAGCTCCAGAGCATGCTCCAAAACTCCCGGGATACGGCCTATCGTGAGTTAAACCCAGATTTAAGGGGTGGGAGAAGGCGGAGAAAGGAAGGCGTCCAAGACAAGAGAGTTCAGGAGGAAAGGCTCCAGTTCTTTGGGAGAGGGGCTAGAGGAGTGGGTGAAGTCGAAAGGAAAGGCCCTCTCCTCTCTTCGTCTTCGAAGAGACAGGGTTCCTATCCTTCCCTGACCCTGGCTATGGGGTCCCTCTGGCTGCCTGCAGGGGATCCCACCACTCCAGGTCCTGGCTCAGAGAGACGAGAAGACGACTCATTTGACAGTGACAGCACAGCCACCTTGCTTAAGTGAGTTCCCCCTGGGGTTCTTCTAGCTGGCTTGCTTGTCTTCTCGGAGAGGCAGTGTTCCCTTCCTGAGTTCTGTCTTTCCTGCTTTTCTATCTCCTAGGGACCTAAGATGCTTGTCCCTTAGCTTTCAGTTTTCATCCTTTTTTCCCTATCTTCTATCCCCTTTACTCCTTCGGGACCATGGGCATCTGCTGCCTAGTACCTGGCTTTCTCCCAACCTCTAGTCCTTCTTCCCCAGAAGAGTTGGCTTGTTTCCTTTTTTTTTTTTTTAAAGATTTATTTGTTTATTTATTTATTTATTTATTTATTTGAGAGAGTGAGAATAAGAGAGAGAGAGAGAGAGAGAGAACATGAGAGGGGGGAGGGTCAGAGGGAGAAGCAGGCTCCCCGCTGAGCAGGGAGCCCGACGCGGGACTCGATCCCGGGACTCCAGGATCATGACCTGAGCTGAAGGCAGTCGCCCAACCAACTGAGCTACCCAGGCGCCCCGAGTTGGCTTGTTTCTGCTAAGACTTTTACTGCTGGGAGTGTGGTAGGCAGGAAGGAGCACTGTAGAGTGAATCACAGAACCCGAGTGCTATCTAGCTCTATGACTTTGGCCAAGTCTCTTGCTCCTTCTGAGTTTCTGTTTCCTCGTTTGTAAAATGTCACAGTTGGACTAGGGGGTCTCGAAAGCTTTCCGCACCCTGACATTCTCTGCCTGCTTTGTTCAGCACCCGGCCCCTGCAAGGCTTATCTCCATCTAGCTCAGCCCAAGCCCTGGAGGAGTTGTTTCCCCGCTATGCCAGTCTTC